CTCCTCCTCCTCCTCCTCCTCCTCCTCCTCCTCCTCCTCCCCTCTTGTGATCGCAGCCTCGAAGAAGGGGAGATCGGAACCCACAGGCCGGAAGATTCGAGCCTCTCGCCCAGGAACTCTGAGGCGCGCCTCGTCAGCCATCGCGCCTGGGCGGAGGTCGAGGCCAGGGTTAGAAATAAAGAGCGGCCTGGCTACCCAGAAATGTCGCTCTGGCAGCTGCTGCGAAGAGCCACTCAGCATCGACGGGGTGCACGCGGGACGTGGAATGAACTAAGGAGGCCATGGATGAGACGGCTCGCTGCCAGACCACCCGCCCATCTGCGAAACAAAACATCTACATTGCGTGTGGAAAGGTGGCCCTTCCGCCGTACCCGAGGTTGGTAACATGTCCTTGCCCTCGGGTCCCAGAAGGAATCCCAATCATGACTGGCAGCAGAGACCCAGGAGGGCAGCTTGTGCCACGCATCTCTGATCCCTGTGACCTATGAGCGCAGTCGCGTGCATCGATCGAGGGTGCACGCCGATCGCCTCAAGCCGCCGAACAGAGCACTCTCAAGAAAGCTGGCCGCGATGACCAACTGTTCAAGAAACGGTTCGACTCGTAGGCTTCGCCCCCAGAGCCTCAAACGACTGCGGCGTGCAACCTGGGCTGGTAAGGGAAAAGAACAAGCGTTTGAGGAACTTTCCCAAGGGGGCTCATGGCACTGCTCGCTCTTGGGATCACCTGGAACCCCTTGATGGAAGGCGACTCGCCCCACCAAGATGTCATCATTCGTACCTCGCTCACTCCGCAATAGCCGCCACAACGCTGCTGCCAAACGCTCCGTGCGGAGCGCAGCCGGCGCACGTCCATCACCTCCGCAGCCCCCGCACCGTCTCGACACCGCCGCACCACACCGGCCCCGGTGCACGCGTGCGACCGCCGTCGGTGGACCCGCACCCCGGGCTGCTGCCGGCAGGCCGTGCGCAAGTGTTGGGGTGCAGAGGAAGGGAGAGGGCCGAGCGGACGAGCGGCCTGCAGTCGAGGTGCCGCGGGGGCACTGCAGGTGGGCGCTGGGGCACCGCCACCGGTGAAACTGTGGCACAGGAGGACGCCCCGCCAGCCTCTCCGCTTCCCACCTGCACCTTTTAGTGCGAGCACCGAACGCGCGCGGGCGCACCGCCAGCCCTCGAAAGTGGCGACAAATTCACACTTCGCAACCTCCCAAGGGATGGCGAGGTCCCGTTTGGATCTGCGTAAGGCCCCACTGTGCGGGCCCCCCCAACAGCCCTCAAAAATGGCGACAGCTTCACACCCCGCAGCCCCCCAGGGATGGCGAGGTCCCGTTTGGATCTGTGTGAGGCCCCACTTTGCTGGCCCCCCGTGAGGCCCCACTGTGTTGGCCCCCCAGCAGCCCTCGAAAGTGTAAACAGCTTCATACTTCGCAGCCCCCCCCAGAGATGGCGAGGTCCCGTTTGGATCTGCGTGGGACCCCACTGTGCGGGACCCCCCAGCAGCCCTCAATAATGGCGACAACTTCACACTTCGCAGCCCCCGAGGGATGGCGAGGCCTCGTTCGGATCTGCGTGGGACCCCACCGTGCTGGCCCTCCCCGCAGCCCTCGAAAGTGGCAGCAATTTCACACATCGCAACCTCCCAGTGATGGCGAGGCCTCGTTTGGATCTGCGTGGGACCCCACTGTGCGGGCCACCCCTGCGAACGTGGCGACAGTTTCACGCTTCGCAACCCCCCCAGGGATGGCGAGGTTCCGTTTGGATCTGCGTGGGACCCCACTGTGCTGCCACTCCCAGCAGCCCTCGAAAGTGTAAACAGCTTCACACTTCGAAGCCGCCCTAGGGATGGCGAGGTCCCGTTTGGATCTGCGTGGGGCCCCACTGTGCTGCCCCCCACACCCAGCAGCCCTCGAAAGTGGCGACAAATTCACACTTCGCAGCCCCCCAGGGATGGCGAGGTCCCGTGTGGATCTGCATGGGACCCCACTATGCGGGTCCCGCCAACAGCCCTCGAAAGTGGCGCCAATTTCACACTTCGCAGCCCCCCAGGGATGGCGGGGCCCCGTTTCGATCTGCATGGGACCCCACTGTGCAGGCCCCCCAGAAGCCTGCGAAAGTGGCGACAATTTCACACTTCGCAGCCTCCAAGAGAGATGCGAGAGGAGAGAGCCGAGAGGAGAGCGGGGGGGAGGAGGAGAGGGAGGAGAAGGGAGCCGGCGACCTCACTGTTCTATTCAAACAAACGCCTGGGAGGGCTTGGAGAAAAAAACAACGACAAATCTTCCGATGGCTAAGTCTGCTTGGCAGAATCGCAAAAATGTGCCAGAGTCGCACCTCCAGCGCGCAGTCCTTAAAACACCATACGGTCGAGGCAGCGGACGCGTGGCCCGAGGGGAACAGGTCGGCCTCGATTGCGCTGGGGCTCGGTGGCCAGAGCGCAAGCTCTCTTTGGCGATCAGGGGCACCCTCCGTCCCCCCCCCCCTCACCCGGCCCCGCCCTCCACTCCCGCCCCCCCCCCCCGCCTGTTCCTGCCTCTGGGGGCGAAAAGTCTCGGCCTCGTCCTCTCCTCCAACACCCTCCTCCCCCTTTCGAGGAGGGGTTTTCCCCTCCCCCTACCCCTCTCTTTGGACCTGGACGGGAGGTTTCGCAAGGGGTTGCAGCGTCCAAGTCGGTCTCAGCGAGAAGGCACACATCACTGACTCGACTCAGGATTTGGACCCATGTTAGCCTCCTTGTGGGGGCCGTACTACATTACATACCACCCCTTTCTTTGCTCGGTCTCCTCCAAGATTGAGGGGGCCCTGGGACAAACAAATAAATAGACACTAATAACATTATTTCCCAGAAATTCCCATATGTTCTGAGCTTTTGTCTTCCCCCCAATTCCCATATTTCCCTACCTAGGCTCTGCCTAGAAGGGTTCTTACTCTCTTTGCTTAAAGAGGCCGGGGATTGGAACGCGCCCCGGGCGATTCCCCCGGCATCCGCCCCGCGGTTCCCCCAGTCACGTCTCCTTAGCTTAGAGTTGCTTATCTCATCTTAGCTTAGCTTATTTCTCATCTTAGCTTAGCTTCATCTTAGCTTCGCTGAGCTTTAGCATAGCAGAGCACAGCATTGTTTAGCGTAGCATAGCATAGCGCAGCACAGCATATCATAGTACAACCCAGCATAACACAGTATAGCGCAGCATAGCATAGCATAGCATGGCATAGCATGGCATAGCGTAGCACGGCACAGCACAATATAGCACAGCGCAGCATAGCATAGCATAGCAGAGCATAACAGAGCATAACAGAGCATAGCAGCACAGCAAAGGCAAAAAGTGTCTGTATAGAGGGTTAGCTCTGCCTAGAGGGTTAGCTTAGCTTAGCTTAGCTAGGCTCTGCCTAGAGGGTTAGCTAGGCTCTGCCTAGAGGGTTAGCTTAGCCTAGCTTAGCATAGCGCAGCACTGCATTAGCATAGCATAGCATAGCATAGCATAGCATAGCATAGCACAGCACAGCATAACATAGCATAGCATAGTGCAGCATAGCATAGCATAGCATAGCATAGCATAGCTTAGCATAGCACAGCGCAGCATGACATAGCATAGCTTAGCATAGCGCAGCATAGCATATCATAGCACGGCATGGCATAGCGCAGCATAGCATGGCATAGCATAGCATAGCATAGCAACTAATGCTGCTTTCCTAGGGGCTCCAACTTCTAGGTAGGGTCGCACTGGGGTAATCTCCTATAGTTGTCCTGGGAGTCGACGAGGAATTGTGTCTGTGTGTCATGTCCCCTCCTGAAAGATGGCCCCAAGATGGACCCCAGCGCTCCCAGGAGTGTCGCGAGAAGGCCTCGGGAGGCGCCCACAAGGCCCGAAGGCCCCCAAGAGTTCCCCAAGAGGCTTCCAAGGACGAGGAGGAGGAGGGAGGGAGGGAGGGAGGGAGGGAGGAGGAGGCGGAGGAGGAGGCGGAGGAGGAGGAGGAGAAGTACGAGGAGGAGGAGGAGCTCTCCCGAGACGCCGAAGACGCTCTCAGAGGCCTCGAAGACCGTCAAGAGGCCTCCAAGACGCTCCAAGATGACCCCAAAGAGTCCCAACAGCCCTCTGGGCAGAGGTGGTCTAGAGCGCTGTCTCTTCCTTCCCCTTCGGGGAGTGTCTACCCATCTCCTGACACCCTCCCCCTGGACCTGTACAGGAGGTCCTGCGAGGCGCTGGAGAGTCCAAGATGACCTCGGCGAGAAGGCACAACTCACTGATGGTCCTTAGGTCGCGGGGCCCACTTCGACCTTCTGATCAGGTCAGGTCAGAAGCCTTGCGCTAGACGGCACGCGAGCAGGGTGAAACAAGGCGACCGCGCCTGGGAAATTGCTCCTCGGCACTCCATCCAAAGCAGGCTCTGTAAAGCATGTCCCGCTGAGATGTACCAAAGGAGGAGGAGGAGGAGGAGGAGGAGGAGGAAGAGGAAGAGGGAGGAGGGAGGAGGGAGGAGGGAGGAGGGAGGAGGGAGAGGAGAAGGAGGAGGAGGAGGAGAAGGAGGAGGAGGAGGAGGAGGAGGAGGACTACGGGGGTGAAGCTCACACCAGGACCTTCTGGAGGGGGCTGCAATGTACGTCCCCCCTTCTTTGATCGATCTCCTCCTAGATGGGCACCAGCGCTCCCAAGAGTGCCCCAAAAGGCGCCGAGGCCCTGAAGGCACCCCCAACGTGTCCCCAAGAGGCTCCCGAAGAGACCCTCGAGAGGCTTCCACGAGGCTCTCCCGAAGCGCCGAAGGTACTCTCGGAGGCCCACAGGACCGCGAAGAGGCCCCCAAGATGCTCCAAGAGGATTCCAAGAGTCTGACAAGACGCACCCGAAGAGGCTCAGGGCATCCAGGAGGCCCATTGTGATTTTGCTCGCCGTCTTCCTCTTCATCCTCCTCCGCCTGCTCCTCCTCCTCCTTCCTCCTCCCTGTTCCTCCCTCCTTCCTCCCCCTCCCCTTCCCCCCCCTCCTCCTCCTCCTCCTCCTCCTCCTCCTCCTCCTCCTCCTCCTCCCCTCCTCTCCTCCCTCCCTCCTCCCTCCCTCCCTCCCTCCCTATCCTCCTCCTCCTCCTCCTCCTCTTCCTCCTCCTCCTCCTCCTCCTCCGACTCCGACTCCGACTCCGACTCCTCCTCCTCCTCCTCCCCTCATCCTCCTCCTCCTCCTCCTCCTCCTCCTCCTCCGACTCCGACCCCGACCCCGACTCCGACTCCGACTCCGACTCCGACTCCATCATCCCCCTCTTGTCCTCCATCCTCCCCCGGTTGGGGTACGACGGCTTCCCCACCCCGCTATTCCACTGCATGCTCTCCCACATCCCTGATCAGGGCAACTCGCCTGGGAATCGTTTCTGCATGGGCTAGTGGGGTTACGCGAAGCGTCTGGAATTGCTACTGCCTGGTGCCGAAGCACATTGGGCCGCCCAGTGGGCCGCCCAGCGTCGTTACCCAGCCTCTGCAGCTTTCGGTGTTCCCCGTCGCCACCCCCTTGCCACGTACCTCCCGTTTGGGATTCGCGTCGCTCACCCAGTCCCCTGCACCACTTCGGTGCTTCTCTGCTGCACCACGCTGGACCGCCCATTGGGCCGCCCTGCGTTGTTACCCGGCTTTTGCACCTTTCGGTGCTCCCCTCCTTCCGCGGCAGCCCCGCGCTGCCTCCTCCCGTTGCGATGCTGTTCCGCCACGCCGCCTGCGGGCACCTGGGACGCTTCGCCCGCCGCCACCTGCCCCACCCCTCCCTGCCCTCTGGCCACCTGGCGTGTCCTTGGGCGGCCACGCCGACATACCCCTGTCAGTGCCAGCCATCTGGTTGCGTCGCCACCTCCTTCCGGCTGTCCCGCGCTTCCGCTTCCCGTTGCGTTGCTGTTCCGCCCCGCCGCCTGCGGGCGCCTGGGTCGTTTCGCCCGCCGCCTCCTGCCCCTCCTCTCCCGGCCCCCTGGCCACCTGGCGCGCCCTTGGGTGGTCACGCCGTCATACCCCTGTCATTGCCAGCCATCTGGCTGCGTTGCCCCTGCCTCCGCGCGGCTCAATGCTGTGCCTACTCCTCGACGCGCCGCGGTACCTCTGCCGCTCGTGGTGGCCCAGTGCGCCCGCCCGCCAACTCCAGCCGCTGGCAGCCGCCCTCCCGCCACCCTTGCCACCGTGGTTAGCCACGGCCGCCCACCGCGCTCTGGCCCTTCGCGCCTGGCTGCTGGTGCCCCCCCGGCTGCTCATCGTCGAGCTCTTCGACGTCCGAGCGTCCCTTCTTCCTATCGGCCGTCCCCCCCCATTCCCCGCCGGCCAGTGCACTAGTTAGTGTCCTTTTCTAGCTTCTCGCTGCAGCGGAGTTCGCCGCCTCGGCGCCGACGGAAAAAGTTCCGAAACACAGAAGCGCCACCCGCAGGCACCCTCCAACAGATTCCGTGCGGCATTAGGCCGAGACGGAAAGTGTGATGTGTTGGCGCGCGTGTCGCAAATGGTGATGTCGGTGCTCTGACCTGTCACAGATGAACTGTCGTGTCCTCTGACCTGTCGCCAAGATCGTCACCATCAACTCCGAAGCGCCAGACTGCAGCGGGGAACTTCTGCGCGACGCTCTGCCAGCGAGCAATGCGTCCCGCCTGGAACATCTGGTCGCACGAGTCGAGCCTCGACCAAGACGGGAGCAGCTGTCCGAGCAGCAGGTCTCGAAGCCTGCGGTCGAATGCGTCGTGGTCTGGGATGCTGTCCAAGATCGCCTGCTTATCCTCTGGCATGCTGGCCCGCGCGCTGCTGATTTTCAGGCTAGCGAGTCCGCCCTGCCTCTTCTCCAAGTGGGCCAGGGATGGCAGCTGCAGTGACTGGGACATGCCTGCTGAATTGGCGGCAGCAATCTCAGACATGCACCAAGCCCGGTTGAAGATGTCGAAGCTCTTGTCGACTGCAACCACCTGGGCGAACTTCTCGTTGCGAGCTGACAGGGACATCATCAGCTGATCGAACTTGTTCATCTCACACGCCACACTTTGTCGCTTCTGAGGTGGTGTTGGCACTCGACTGCGAGGTGGTGTCGTCACTCGACCGCGAGGTGGTGTCGTCACTCGACCGCGAGGTGGTGTTCGACTGCGAGGTGGTGTTGTCGCCACATCGCTTGCCACCTCGCTCGTCAGGGGCGGAGTGTTGTTGAACGCCTTTTCCAGGCCGCACGTGCAGAGGGGGTAGAGCTCGCCCGTCACCGAGTCGCTCCTCGAGCAGAGATTTGCGGCGCAGATGCTGCGGTGCTGGTTCACCGAGAAGGCGCACACCCAGTACGTTCGAGATCCAACTTGTGACTGGGTAACCCACCTCATGAGGGTGTCGATGTCGTGAACGAGCAGAACCAACACCTTGCAGTACTCCGTCTCGGAAAGAGCGTCTGACACAATAGCCGCAACCAGGTCGGCAAAGGTGTTTCCCCAATTGTGAGTCACCATCCTGTCGGGCCGCACAGGGCGTTGGTCCATCATGATTTCAGCCATAGATGTTTTGCTATCTGCCGACAGGGGAATGATGGCGCCTCGGACCACGTCCTCCGTGGTGTGCTTCGAAGGGTTGAAGTGCGGCATCACGTCCCTGCCCAGCCTGCAGTAAAACTTCAGCAGCGACTGCAGCGTGAATCCCCTGCAGGCCAACTCGTCGACTTTGGTGTTCCAGTTCATATCGGGGTGTCGTTCCCACTCCGCGGAGAACTCGTTCCAAGTGCGGTGGCGCTGACGCGCCGAGCGCATCGTGGACAAGCCTCCGCTGAGTGCCCCGAAGAAGGCTCCACTGAGGGCCAGGGCGGCAACGGCGTTGAACGTGGTGTCGATCAAGCTAATGCACTGCACCAGGACCAAGTACTTGGGCGTCCTCTCGTCCACAGAGAGCCCCACTATTGGCCAAGTCATGTCCGACGTCCACATTCTGATCACGAGTGCGACGAAGAAGCTCACGACCGCCATGGATGATCCCACCATCTGGAACATCAGAACCCGAGGGACGGTCCTGACCTCCTCGGTGACCACCCCTCGCCGCTGCGTCTCGCGCGCCATCGCCAGCACTCGCCAGAACGCGCGCAGGAACACGGCCAACCCCATCAAGAACCAAAAGATTGTGATCCAGACGAGAATACCCATTATGATTCGGGTGGGATGATGCGAAGGTCCACGCGCAATCCTGCTGCAGCTGAAGGCAATAGTGCCGAAGATTGACATAGTCACTATCATTCTGCGAAGGCGCCGATAGCCGAGATCAAGGAACGAACTTCTTTCCAACGCCTTTACCTGACGCAGCAGCAGCACATAGAATACTGTCATGTTCACGGGAAGCATGAAACCACTAAATACGCCGAATAGCTCCCCGTTCAGACCATTGCATTGGAACAAACTGTACAACGCGAAAAACACCACTTCCAACCACAGACAGGTCGCGTACTCAGCAACTCTGCACATGTGACTCGTGGCAGCGAAAGCGAGCAAGCTGAACGCGGATGGGGCGGTGACCGCCATGGCCACGACCTGCACGGTGATGATGCCGCGGTGCGCTTCCGCCGCCTGCGCGGCGCTCAAATGCGCCATGCGCACGAAAGGGTCCACCTTTTCCTCGCACTCCTTGACGGTCCCCTTGCCACCGCCCGCGATGGCGGCCACGATCACGCTCAAAGTTAGAACGATTACGAACACTGCGAGCGCTCTGTGCACCACTCCGCTCAGACTTACGCAGAGACCGGCGAGGCTGCAGCGCTTCTTCGCCTTCTCGACGCCCGCTGCAGAGGTCCTCATGTCGTTGTGTCGCTTGTGGCGAGCAGCGGTGTGCACGTGCCACGAAAGCGCTGCCGGATTCGGGCACGAGATGCTCGAGCCAAAACGGCTAGAGCACGAAACCGAGGACGAGGAGGAGGAGGAAGAGGATGGCCCCGGCTGTACAATTAGGGTACCGGCGGTTCCCTTCACCCTCACGGTTAATTATGTTGGACGAAAGGGTGACCCGAACTCGTGACCTACGACGGGGGGGGGACGTACAGCAATCGCTGGCTATCACCCCTTCTCACCCCCGTGCCCATTTCGGATCCGCTCGAATCCAGACTGGGAGGTGGCATCCCCTGCGGGGAGGCGAACATCTTCAAGCACGGGCCCATGCCTTCGGATTGTCAACCAGGCGGTAAATAGTGTGGAAGGCACACCCACCGACAGCCAAAATAACTTCCGTCGTGTTTTTGTTGTTCCCCACCCCCCGACTCGATGGGGTCTGGGCACCCTCGGCCCCCCTTCAACGGCTAGACACGGTGGAAGGCACAACCACCGACAGGAAACATCTTCCTCCTGTGTTCCCAACCCTCCTGTGTGTTGGGCTTTCGCTTTGAATCCGCACCGCTGTTGTGAAGAAAGGGGCCGAGGACACGTCTGATCGACCTCACTCTTCTGAGGCAAAGGAGGCACCAAAGCTGCCGCAACAAAGCGTGTGGCTGTTTGTTTAGCCCTTCTGACCGATGAGGGAACTACTATTACTTAGGTGTTCCTGCACCACTCCGCGGCCAGAACTCCCGATCTTGCCCCGGGCCTTGGTGAACTCTGTCCGCCAGACCCAGACATGTCGGCACAAGTTCGAGCTTTCTGGTCGGCCTGCCGCCTACGGCGCCGACTGCTTGGATGCGTGTTCTCCACGCCGAAGATGGGTGCGACAGGAACTGCTCGAATGCCCCCAAATCCACCGACCCTGTCGGCGAGTGTGATACGCTTTTCCGCTTGAGTCGCCGTCGCTGCTCTCCCCCTTTCCCTGGGCCCTCCTCCTCACGAGACCCAGCCAAACGAAAATCGAATGTCGCGATCGAGTCAAAAGGAAGCCTCTTCCCTTTGATCCCTTCTCCGTGCGTCGGGGGGGAGGTCCCCGGGGTCGTGACCAAGACGGCCCAAGTGAGCCCCACAAGACCGCAAAAGGGGGAACACCAATCGAGTCGAAAGGAAGGCCCTTGATCCCTTCCCCGTCGGGGAGGGACGGTCCAGGGAGGAAATCGCTGGGGGTGGTCCCGGAGGGGGTCCCAGGGGGGGTCCCGAGGCACACATGGCCCACGTGGCCCCCACGAGGGCTCGCGAGCATCGCCGTCGTCGTCCTTGTTGTCTCCCTTCAGGGTCGGCGGCACCGAGGCCTTCGCAGTCAATAGCAGAGGTTCAGAGAGCAAATGGGTCCAGCAATGTCTGTACCCATTTTGGCTCAAGACGCACCCTTTGCGTCGACAACGCCGAAACGCCACACCCTTAGGATCGAGAACTCCTGGAACGTGTAATGCACCCTTACATAACGTTACTGCGGAGGCCGTAGAGAGGGAACCCATGGACAAAGAAACCAGGGTCTCGTGACCGAAGGACGGCCAGTCGCTTTACACCCAGCACGCCACGGAAGAAAAAGGGAAGCGCCAGGGGCAGGCCGCTCAGGAGGAAATTCATGATTCGTCTTCAATGCTTCCGCCGTATCTGCGACACGAGGCACCGCCTTGACACATTTGCAACTTGCAGTATTAAGCTGCATCCTGGTGGTATACATACTTCGACCTCATAGGCGAAAGAAACAACTCCCGCCCCCATTCCCTCTCCCACCCTCCAACACTCGGCAATGTCTGACACGACGCCGCATTGGTGCCGACAGAATGCACCACTTGACGTGTCGCTTTGACTTGGCCAGACCGACGAAGAGCCGCCCCACGACTGTGAAGCACGGGTGTCCTCAACTCGGGTCTACTCGCAGAGATACATTGACCCATAGCTCACGACGAATCCCATGAAGCACGAGCCCGTGCTCCAAACTTAGGATCAAGACCCCCAATCGCGAAGCAGTGCTGTTGCGACGATATGTCAGTCTATGTGACTTTCTTGGTTTCTCCTGTGCAACGCTTCAGACGCAGCCTCCTGAGGCAGGCGGGCGAAAGGTCCCGACCTCTTTTTGTGTCTTGGTTTGGGCTAAGCGCTACTCTTGGCAATGTGGGCTAAAACCTCGCGCCGTCTTCACAAAACGCCGTGCGCGGGGAGGAAGCAGAAACTGGGCACCATGGCCCTCCCGCCTCGCCTCCTACACAGCAGGCTTGACAGCGGTAAAAGTTTGTCAGCGGTGAAGGAGACGGAGGAAGAGGCGGAGTAGAGTGTGGAAGAGTCCAGGATAAGCAGGAGGAACTACAAGGAAGCGGAGGAAAATATGTTAGGCCCCTGTTGGGGTGTCTTGGGGCTTCTTGGGGCCTCTTGGGCGCTTTTTTGGAGCCTCCTGCGGCGACGAAGACGACGACGACCACCACCACGACGCCCTCGACGACCAAGGCGACGGTTTGGAGACGACGACGCCGACGGCGACGACGACGACGACGCCGACGCCAACGTCGACGACGACCACGACGACCACAACCCCGACGATTCAAGCTGTGGCTCTCGCCTTAGCGCCGCGCACTTTCGTCGAAAAAATGTAAGAGTTTCACGGAAAGAGGGGGGGGGTCAAAATGTGTGTGGCTCTCGCCTTAGCGCCGCGCACACTCGATGTTTTTTGTTTTAATTACGCCAGTGCGACCCTACCTAGAAGCTGGAGCCCCTAGGAAAGCAGCATTAGTTGAAATGCTATGCTATGATATGCCATGCTATGCTGCGTTATGCTATGCTATGACATGACATGCTATGCTGCGCTATGATATGCTATGAAACAATATGCTAAAATATGACATGCCATGCTGCGCTGTGCTATGCTAATATGTGATACGCATGCTATGATATGCTAAGCTGCGCTATGCTATGAGATGTTATGGTATGATTGGCTATGGTATGCAATGCTATGCTATGCTATGCTGCGCTATGCTATGATATGATTTGCTATGCTTGGCTATGTTATGCTATGCTATGCTATGCTATGCGAATGCAGCGCTGCGCTATGATGTGCTGTGCTGTGCTGCGTTATGATATGCTATGCTGCGCTATGCTATGCTATGCTGGGACATGCTATGATATGCTATGCTGCGCTATGCTATGCTACACTATGATATGCTATGATGTGCTCTGCTATGCTCAAGTTCAGCGAAGCTAAGATGAAGGTAAGCTAAGCTAAGATAAACCTGAGCTAAGATGAAGCTAAGCTAAGCTAAGCTGAAATAAGCTAGGCTAAGATGAGATAAGCAACGCTAAGCTAAGGGGACGTAACTGGGGAAACCGCGGGGCGGATACTGGGAGAACCGCCCGGGGCGCTTTCCACTGCCCGGCCCCTTTAAGCCCAGAGAGTAAGAACCCTTCTAGGCAGAGCCGAGGTAGGGAGAAAAAAAGGAGTTTGACCGATTGAGGGCAGGTCCTTCAAAATATGGCTCTCGCCTTAGCGCCGCGCACATTCGTTTCTGAAAAATGCAAGAGTCTCACGGATTCTCATGATCAACGTATCAGAAACGGTGTTTTAGAAGGATTCAGGATTATGCGGGCGCAACAATTATATTGATCTGCAGTGTTGAAGTCCCAACAATAGCGTTCTGGCACGATTCTGGATCGTCAAGACGCAGCAGTCAGGATGATACGTGGCGTTGAAATCTCGAGAACCATGTCTTGGCACGCTTCAGGATCTTCAAACTGTTGTCTTCCAACGAGAAGTTCCCTCAATGGAAATGAGCCGTTGTAGGGGCCTACGAAGAGGGAGCTTGGAGGGAAGGTTAATTCCAACATTGTTGATGACCATTGGTTTTCCACTGGTCTTCCTCCTCATCATCATCCTCCTCCGCCTCCTCCTATCCTCTTCCCCCTTCCCGCTACCCTCCATCTCTGCCTCCCCCTCGTCCTCCTCACCCTCCTCGCTCTCCTCGCCCTCTCCACTCTCTTCGCCCTCCTCGCTCTCCTCGCCCTCCCCGTCCCCTGCCTCATCCTCCTCCTCCTCCTCCTCCTTCTCCTCCTCCCTTCCTCCCTCCCTCCCTCCCTCCCCCTGCCTGCCCCGCCCCCTCCCTCCCTCCCTCCCTCCCCCTCATCCTCCTCCTCCTCCTTCTCCTCCTCCTCCTCCTAACAACAACAACAACAACAATCACTTTACCCGAACGCTCAGTGTTCTCACCAGTGCCAGGGTTTTCATGCGACGCCAGCCAATACCCCCACTTCGTGGGGGGGCAGTGCAAGCTCTACCAAATATCCACACGACTCTTCGCCACCACCCACACCCAGCTTCCCGCCCTATGACGTTCGGACACTTCACTTCGTGGCCTGCGGACGACCGTGGCTACTACACTGGCGTGGAGGACAGCGCGCGCGGGTAGAAATTTTGAAAAGTCGTGCAGGTGTTTTTCGAGGACCTACGGTGCGATTCGTGTGATTTTATGATGCGCGGTGCTAAAATTCTTAAGAACCCAATGGTTTTTGGAGATTTCGGCGTGCGCGCGCGAAGAAAAAACGAATGTGTCCCGCATGGTATTATTTGACAGGGATGATGGCCCTGGCAGGTGCGCAACCGTTGTCGCAGAAGTTCGAAAAAGTTGCTCGCAAAAGCCCGTTTGACAGAAATGTTTAAAAAGTGTTGGGTTTCCTACGAATCCGCAAGAGCGCGCGGGATGAGATTTTGACATTTTTTTGTTGAAAAACCATTGGTTTTTTGATGTTTTTATGTTGAAATCGCTCCGAACACTAAGCTTTTGGAAGGATTTCGTCTTGCGCGCGCGAATGTCCACTTTACCTCATTTTTTGCAAAGGATTCTTGAAATTTGATTATATTAGAACAAGAAATGTCATTTTATAGTGTTTTTTGCAAGGGAAAGCGGGGGGGAACAAAACAACCGGATCTTGATCACATCGAATTACCTGAGGCTTCCTCACGAAAATGATGAAAATGTAGCTGCGGCCTAGGCGGCGCAGGGGGGCCGTGCACCAGGGGCCCCAACAATAATTATTCTTTAGAATTAATAATGTTCAACAACAACAGCAGCAGCAGCAGCAGCAGCAGCAACAACAACAACAACAACAACTGGCCCTCCTCCCGCGGCGGCCGCCTCCGGCGACCGG